TTAGAAACACGTATTGTGTCGGAAACATGTGCTAGTAACGGGCGTTAAAAGTAATCGGCCGAACGTATAAACTCGGCCTGGGCGGCACATGCACACACACCTTCAAAACGATCTTTTTTCCAGGGAATATGTAAAAATAACACGACATAACAATGTATTCTGACATCACAAACTGTATTACTCTCAAAAACTACAAAATCCTACCACAAACATGGGAATTTGGCAAAGCAAAAAGTCCTCCATGCACGTAAGTCCATTCACTAAAGCAACTTTCTCATGGTCGGAAGAGTCCACTTCGAGTAGGGGGAAACAGTTTCTTTTAATTATAGAAATTACTCTGTGAAAAATACTACATGTGCATGTGGCATTCTAACAAAGTTACATCTTATTTAGATACCTATAAACAGGAGTACAATTGCAAATGATGCATCAATTATTACATCTAAATGTTTAATAAAATGATTCCCCCTACAAATAAAAATCCCCATACATCAAAGACTTTATAGTGAAACCCTAGACCATTGAATTTGTGGCAACTTGAAGAGTGTGTCATTGTGGCTATTTGTTTGAATGATGGCTATGTATAATGTATCTGTAGCATACCTAAAGTGTATAATGGGAAATATAAAATGTATACTACCGGTAGTATTTGGGAGTTGGGAAAAGATAAAAAAAAGAAATAAAATATCTGTAAAAGTAGTTAATTCTTTTGCCAATAACTTTTACACATTCCTGGAAATTTGTCTAAAGTATATATTTAGGATATTGTAAATTTCAAGCTCTAAATAACTTCCATATCAGCCAGACACAATAGAATGCCCAGCCCAGTGGTAAGCTGTGTGCCCTGAACTGTAAGAAAACAATGGGATCTGAACAGAGCACCCTGATTTAAACCACTCTTTGGAACTTTGAAAGATGAATAAAAGTGAAACCAGTTGGATGGGAGTCTTGTCAACTGACAGTTTGTTGTTCATACAGTAAAGATGTGTATCTTGCAAAATAATACGAATAATTGTAAAGGGATGTAAGAGAAGTTGCTCATGTACATGTAATAATGGTCCTTTCAGTTCAATAAGTGTCTAATATAATATCATTTTGTAACTTAACTTAATGGATTGCTTACTACATGGCTGTATGGCAGGTGGTCTCAAATTTTTATTTTTATTTTTATTTCGCCCGCCCGCTCCATTTTTTTTCTAGAAAAATCCGTTAACCAAGAAATTAAATTGGTGTGGCCTAAGGTGTTTTTTTCTTTGCTAGCACAGGTGGCCTATCAGCTATAGTATAGATCAGTTTGCTGTGTATCAAATATCAAATATGGGTTTGTAATTACAATGATCATGCAGTTTGATGTTTTATAACTAAAACGAAAGGCAATTAGTTGGTCACAACTTAATCCTTTTGATAATTCTTCTCACCGTTCTCAATAAGTCACAAATTTGGAATAGTTTTGTGGTAATTTTATCCTTCGAAAATTGCTGATTTGATATCTAGCATTAATAGTACTAGTCTGCATGTAACAGTGACTTGGGTATTCCAGCCAGAATCTTGCAGTAAAAGTTGGAAGCATTAAAGAAACATCAAGGTAGAATAATTGCACATTAATTAGGCCCTCTGAACCCATCATGTGTATCGGCAATGTTTAATCATAAGATGAATATTCTGCGCTCCACTGCCGAGGCTTCTGAAAAATTTATCCTAATGGCTTACCTTTAAGTAATAGACAATAAAGTCCGCAAGTATTGATCCCAGCTAGAACCTATCTAGGAACAGACAGAGTATGGAACAGTATGAAACAGATGCTTGCGGCCCCATATTGAATTTTGCATTTGATATACCTCCTCGATCAATACATTGGTTTGGCCCCTACCAACCCACATACACACCCGTGATTTGATATGTATGGTTTTTAACTGAACAATAGTTGCTCCTTGCCGCCCCTTTGAAACATCCCTTCATTACGGTTGTCATTAAGTATGGGTCATTGCTCGTGTATGTAAATGGCGATAAATGTTTTCAGCCCATAAGTGTACATGGCTATAAAATCCTACTTTCTTAACAGAAAATCTATAAAGAACTAGAATTTGCAAAGGAAATGCATCATGTTTACCTTCAGATAGCCCAGCTGAACAAACTGCTGTGTTGTTTATACTTAAACACTCCTCTTGAATGCAGTTCTGCATGACACTTAAAACATAATGTAACCCAACACCAGTTACCATGGTAACAGACGTCTGGTCCTGGTCATTGACCTTATTTGTTTCGAACAGAAGAAGAAACTGAGCAAAAACATGTTCCCCTTTGGTAAACATAATCATTTCATTGTATAGCAAGAAAAAAGTTTCCATTCAGTACTTATTAACCATAACAAACTTTTCAGCACCAAGGACAGGTATGATTCAGTCAGACTGCTTTCCAGTGATACAATTGTCTGCGTAATTATCATTCAACACCAGGCCTAGGGGCAAGAGAACTTGTACGTACAGACTTGTCCTAAATGCATTAACAGTCTCACGATAACCCCTTTTTGTACCCTCCATGGGGGGCATTTTGATAAGTTGGTTTTTCCAATGAAAGAATCACTGCCATTGGGGATGAAATTGATGTCAGGCACTGAACTGCCTAGCATACATAGAATTATGTAACGTCCCCATTTTAAATGTCAAAATTTGAATATGTAATGTACATATTGCATTCACAATTAACTGTGCTTGCACCATGCAAGCTAGAAGATTACGCTTGCAGTGTGCAAGCTAGAAGTTACTGTATGTGGATTATTATGGGGAAGGGCTTTCGGCAGATTCAGTCTTACACATCACATTCTGTCATTTCTGTACCTCCTGATTTTCTCTAGTACATGGTAAATTCCATGCCCTTTCTTGAGTTCCATATCAAAACTTGCAGGGGTCTACAAATTTTTCAGGAGGATGATGGTTTTGCCAGCGTAACAACCTGGCTACATTCCACTGAAAGTCACTTACTGCTTCCACAATAAATCATGGTCAACCCCCTCTGTTTATTAATACTTGACCTCCTTATCTGCGGTTTCATATTTTACACACAATTTGCTAAGGGCCATGTGATATGATTGCAACAGGAAGCCTGTATGCTACACAGCTGGAAACCTACATATCAGGATTTTCCGCAAAGCCCTTTTCCAATAATTGCACCCTGTGATCCCCTCCCCTCTGGTTCCCAGACATTTTGCAGGGCATTCATATGTGGGTAAGATTTGGTGAGAAGTTTTATTGCATATTTTGAGGATTATAGTATTATCACAAAACTGTTATTCCTGGCAAAGATGTATAGAAGGGATTTGGAAAAGCTGATGAGGGAAAATTGAAGCTCACAGTTGCAGAGGAAGGTTTGCTTGATATATTGCGTCTTATAAGTTACAAGATTTTTCTCTGAAATTGAAGATTACTTTCCTTTACTTCAACATAATTACATGTACATATGTGATAAGGTAAAAGTTGTTTTTTTTACCAAAGTACCTGTCATTCATAATGGCATTGGTATTGCTGTAATTACCTTCGCCAAGAAGGTTATGTTTTCAGGGGCGTTCGTGTATGTGTGTGTGTGTCTGTCTGTCTGTCAACACGATAACTTGAGAAGGCCTTGATGCATTGTCTTGATACTTGGTAGGTGGGTAGGTCTTGATGAGACCTCAAAATGATTAGATTTTGGACCCCCTAGCGGCTTGTTATGGTACTGCAGCTGAACTTCCGGTTTTGATATCTCATGATCTAGACATGCTATGGTGATGAAATTTGGATGGTAGGTAGCTCTTGTGCTGGGGAAGAAGTGACGTGAGTTTGGTCCCCCTAGCGGCTTGCTCTGGAACTGCAGGGATATATTCTTGAAAATATTCAAAAGGGGATAACTCAAGAACCAGTTGACGGATCGTCGTGATTTTTGGTATGTAGGTAGCTTACGTGATGCTTAATATAATTATGTGACAATTATTCAAATATGGATGTAATTTGCATAATTCATGGGGAAATTCTATAAATCATCTGCATTCTATGATAGGACAATTGAAGCTTGTGACATTGGTAATTGACAACGAGAGAAACACAGGAGGATATTGATTATGTTAATAATGACTTAATTTGCATAATTAATGAGAAAATTTTATAATTATGTAATGATAACTGCCTGGAATTTCATACTTGTGGTATTTGAAAGTTAAATTGAGGTGAACATCATTAAACATAATTTATTCAAATCAGGACCTCCTTTGCATAATTTATTAGGAAATGCTAGAATGCATTGTTTGTTAATATAAGACTGTCTTTTGGTTGAGATTATGATAAAATGATATAATTCATGAAAATCAGGTTCCTATTTCTTAAATCAGGGGGAAATAATCTAATCTATAATTTGTCAGTCATAAAGATTAACATCATAATTTGGCGAAGGTATGAGATCGGCGAACTCTAGTTGTTACTTAAACTTGAACCATGACTCATTAAAAAGAAAGCAATTCGGATCCTTTGATTATGATCTTGTTGCCTTATGTTTGCAATGCCGGTAGCTATTTGATATGCATGTTTTATGGTTATTGAATTCGGTGTGGGTGTTGTATCAAAACTGTATGAGACAAAGTGCAGTGCCATGTTTCACTCCAGGCCAATCTCTGTTCTATATTAAAGGTGTTGCCATCTGTACAGCCTTGCAAATCCCAGGTCCCTTGGAAATTACTATTGATGTGGCCGAGTCCCATCTTTCATATATAGCTACATGCAGAACTGTACTGGTGGCAAGTCTGTGGTATTAATACACTTTGAAGTAGAAAATTATCGGTTTCATTTATTTGTTTGCTTATTCATTATATACAATGCTTGGGGCTTAATAGATATTGGTTACAACCAATCATAATTGATATATAAAGTAAATTAATCAAATTCAAAGCCTTGTACTACAATTCTACATGTATGTGTGTGTATACAAAATGTATAGTTAGCAATTAATCTGATGGTTTATTTTTTATGTTCCAGGAAAAAACCTCTGTTGCTGCTGATCCACAAGTCCTGGTGCGGAGCATGTAAAGGTCAGTGGAACGTTCTGTTTGCTTCCTATTGGCTGAACTGCTAATTGAGTTAATTTTGATGTACAGGGTATTTGGTGGAAGGTTCTGCTTTCAATTGGCAGTAAATTGAAAACCACTGTGATTTTAGTTCTGAAAGTAAATCAGCTCTCTATGCAAGAAGAAGCTCACCACAAGAGACACCTTGGGGTGTATTTTATGACTGCTGCAATCTTGCCGTTAAGTTGAATTCATATTTCAGTGGCTGTAAAAACTATGGACCATGCAGCGTCGCAAATACACCTAACATGTTCTGCATTCCAATATCAGGACACAGTCAGCACCTGTTACAACTTCTAGCCTGTTACAGCCAATGCAGTTCATCTAGTTAAGTTAATACCAATTTGCAGATAATGCACTAAGTAGGAGGTCAAACTAGGGAAAGCTCCACTTTGAATGAAGCTGCCCATTTTTCTTGTAACACGTATTAGGAACCTAAGGCTGTTATTTCAACCTTGGGCACGCAATGCACTGGTTATCCATTGATTTCAAAGGCAGCCCTCACATCTTATTGTGTACGGTTCATGGGTTTGGGTAAACGTGGAATTAGATCATGGAAATGCTACATGAGTTTGAAAATTGAGGCCATTCTTGTAGTAAGGCTTTCATGTAGGCTGACCCTTGCATTAGCACGTTTCCTTTCCTACATTGTACTCTTCCATCCCTAGGGTATGAAAAGAAGCAAAAACAAATGTCTCAGCTAACCAGACATCTTTTCAGGATGTAATTACAGATCATTCTGTAAAGATAACTTCCCCATAGGGTCAAATTGGGGGCACCACCAAGTGCGAAACGATAACGAGAAAGCTGAAACCTTTTTCCTGGAGGTGATATATATGTAAAAGAAGTTTTATCTATCTTGGCCACATGAGCTTTTATCAATACAGCGCCCATTGAGTTGCGGCATACTGACAAATCCAATGCTAGCTATTTCGTGTAAAGCATTTGTGCAAAAGCTTTTAGCGTGCAGTGTGTTATATGGCTATCCTGTAGCAATGACCAAGATTGAATGAGTCTTGTGATTTTGCATTAAAGGCAAATACAGCTTTTGTTGATACCTTTTACACTTTGGTTCACCTTTCTTGACTATGTGGGAAATACAAATGCTGTAATGCCAAGCCTTTGAATCTTATATCAAGAAATGTCTAGCTTACTTTGTGTCTTTCGTGTTACCGTACAGTAAATGTTGATTTCTTTACACTTTGGTTCACCTTTCCTGACTGTGGGGAATACAAATGCTGGAATCTTATATCTAGAAATGTCTAGCTTACTCTGGGTCTTTTGTGTATGCTGAAACCTGACATACCACTGTATTACCAGTACATGCTGAAATTGAGCTGCGTAGGGATGTATTGATTTTGAGAATGTTTCAGGTGTGAAGAGGTCTTAGCTAGGCTGCCATGTAGACTTGGCCTTTCCTGCTGCCACTCAGCTGATGGAGAGCTCCTGTATTACTTACAGTGATGCTGAAGGTATCGCAGGGTTCAATACAGGAGACTCCATGTTGTAATGGGATGCCTTGCAGAGGATCTAACCTGGGTGCTAGATCGATGCAAACATTTGGCAGGGGGTCAGGGCTAAGGCCTTGGAAAGAAATGTTGTGTTTGCTGTTTCAGTCCTGAAAAAATTAGGGTCGGTAGGAATTCGAAGGAATTATCTTTTTTTTTTTTAAGTTAGATTTTGACAATCTCTATAGCTAGTGATCCAACTTGTGATCCAACTTACACAATACAGTTTAACAAAGTAAACTTGCATGAGGATACTTTTATATATATATTATGTCAATGTTACAATTGTACAATGTTTCATCACTCAGGTGTCAGATCATGGAACTAGAAAAGGTGGATCACCTTGTAAAATTGATGTCCTTTGCAGGGCTAGGGGTCCACCCCAAAAAAAGGCTATCTTCGGCAGTTTTTTCTAGGGTCGGTCAGGAAACAGGAAGCGTAATTTTTTTTTCCTACGCCTAAGCTGATGCTGCCATTTGTACAGTATTGGAGAAAAATAGCCATTCTGCTGGTATCTTGTGTGTCTGCCAGGGTTTTGCCAAGAAGTAGATTTCGTGCTGTCATCTGGAAAACCCTTAGCGAAGTCCCAGTATGATTGGAGCTGATAGCCTCTGTGTATGGAGGTTTTGTTTCAAGTATAATTTGTTTGTTTGCTTTTATGTCTGTAGTTGTTTGAATACAGTAGAGTGACAGAAAGTGAGGGAAATATGTAACCACAGACTGACAAAAGGTGGAATTTGAGGTTAAAATGCTAGAAAGGCATTGATATTAAAAGCTTACCAGGTCATGGAAGATAAATTTCATGATATCATGATAAACCCCAGGTAATTTGATGGCCACTGGTGAATCCCCAATAATGAGCCATGCCAAATTAAAGACATTTACTGCATTTCACACCATGAAATGATACAATGTAAGCCATTTATTTATCCTTTGCCTCAGGCATTTCATTATTTTTCTTTACCTTTTGCCTCAAAAACATACATCTTCCTTTTGTGGAACTCTCTCTAAGGAATTGTCTTCTGAACTTTACAAAATTAATATCATATATGCATGTACAAAATAAATTAACAAGTTTCCTCTGAAGCCATTTGGATGACTCTGGGTACTACAGAAGGCTCTGGATAACTGTGAAGAATACAATCGATAACAGAAATAGGTCACACTTCATTTAAGACAACAGTCCACTCATCTGCCTTGTTTTATGGGTCAGTGTCTTCAAATTTGAGGCATCTCGTGGCATTTAAGGGGAATTCGATATCCCCTCCCAGTGCTTAATTGATGATTTAGATCGCAGGAGGTATCAGTCATTCTATATTTGCTATATAATCAATCGATATTGACCCGTCCCAAGATTACCATGTAATTTATCTCGGAAGAATAAATCAACAATGATATAGGTCTGAGTACCGTATAGCTTCATGTGTGGAAAACTAGGGGAGAATCACCTATTGAAACCCTATTTTACAGGGTTGGATTGAACGATCTTGTATTGAATCAAATTGATCAATACATAATTACATGTTGGTCAATAGTTGTGTGAATAATTCAATGAAATACTGATATTGTTGAATGAACAACAATATCATTGTTCTCTGTACGGTGGAGTTGTATAGCCTCTTGTGGGAAAAGAGGAGGAAATAATTATTTAAACAAATGTGACTAGGCCATTATGTGGGTAATATCTGTCCAACAAATGCTGATAATGTTGACAAATTGACAGTCAGTGGCCTGTGATTGATAAGATATTGGGGCCGGAGTGGGTCATGACAGGTGATATCAGACTGGGCTAGTGACCTACTGGAGATGATTGTCTGTGTTACAGAAACAACCAAACGTAGATGATCTTATAGTAGTCTTACTCACGTTGGCAAATCTGAATTACACTCATTGAAAGGCATCCAATGTAATTTCAGGTGGGCAAAACTAGAAATATTCTGAATAAGGCAATCTGTATGATATTGATACATACTTTCCCACATTAGCACATTTGAATCAGTATTTCATACTTTAGGCATTTAAAACTGCAGAAACAAGCCACAAGATTAGTCTTTTATTTTATGGGTGATACCCTTAAAATCAATCCAGGTCCTTCCAGTATCTGTTTGTCGCCAGAATTTTGGGCACTTTTGCTCTGTGACTGTCAATATACATTTGGGACAGTGATATTTCGACTTAGTATGTAGATAAATGACTAAGTCTAGAATATAGACTTTGAAAAATCTGGTTTCCAAGCCCTAAAAATTGCATTGATGTAGTTGTTTTGAAGAAATACCAGTACTTTGTTGTTTAAGTGCAAAGCTTTTATTTGTGAGCACAAATTTGTATCAAACTAAGATCACTCCATGTATGGTAACTGTTGCTCTTTTATTAATAATGCCAGGTGCAAGATATTAACTGGCTGTCACAAAGAGACTTTTTTTGAGTTGAAATATTAATCACAAATGTGTTTGGCCTTCAGAAAGCTCAGTCTAGACCATATTTGGTTTGATGATGAATAGTTATTGGAGGGGGTTATACGTTATTGACTGATTGAAGGGACTAATGGTCACACCCACGACTCCCTGATAACACATTTCTCCATGTGTGGATCGATATTTCCTCCGTATTAAGGACAGCGATACACACACTTTCTGACCTGCCTGATATACATACCTGCCTAATCAATCGTATGCTGCCCACCGCTGGTCAGATATTTTTGCATATACCAGAACTGCACGGAGCCAGATATCCCTGTGGGGGGTCATTGACCTTGAGGACGCGGCAGTGACTCCGGGAAAGTCTGAGTTTATGATGAAATTCACGATTAGCATATATATGAAAATCACAAATCAGGAGTTTCCATCAATATGTCGGGACTTGTTTTGTGCGCCGCATTAGACATGTGCTGAGCTTAGACAAGACATACAAGTAATTTTCCTTGTTGGCATCAGACTTGACATTCTTGTTTCAAACCCAGCAATAAAAAACGTTGGTCAAAATTGAGGAATATTTGAAACTAGAAACAGCTGCAAAGCTAATGCACTATGTTAATTTACCTTCGCATATGGTCTGCTCTGTTAATTCTTACTCAAGCACATTCCTATACGGTATATGGTCAGACAGGAGTCTAAATCCCTCCTGCTATAAAATTGCAACATTATGTAAGCCAACACTAGTTACCATGGTGACAGACATTTGGTTCAGGTATTGACCTTAATGGAGAAGAAGAGGAAACAGAGCAAAAATGATATATTTTCCTTCGGTTAACATAATAACAGTGTTGCATTTACTGAATGGAAGGCCAAGTTTTATACAGGTACAATGTTATATGGCCTGCTAGCTATAGCATGTCTTGACTACCTTATATTGCACGTAACACAATCTGAATGATCTGATCACCTATCAAAAAGTATCTGATTTAGTGCTTTAATATGTGTGTGTGTTAAGACTTAGTGTTCATTTTGGTGAATATTG